GGGTTTAATATTTTTCCTAGAACTTTTTTTTTTTTTTTTTTTTTTTTTGGGCTTGTTAATAAAAGGAGCAGAAAAAAAAAAAAAAAAAAAAAAAAAAAAAGAGGCATCTATATCACAAATATATCCCACACTGAAAGGATAACAACTTTGTTATTAGCACAAGAAAACCCATCATTTTTTTCTAATATTTTCTGATTAACAAAAACCAGGAAACTTTATATAAAAAGAGATTTCTAGATCTGAATAAAGAATTAGAACTGAAAAAGATGGACATGTTATTATTAGTCAGTAATTACTATCAGAAATTCAGTATTATACTGTTAGCTATGTTTTAAAATGTCACTACAAGATGAAGCTCTGAACTATGAACTGATGTCTAAACATACCCATTTTTTTTGTTTGTCTATATTGCAAGGCAGGTCCATGGCAATCCTGTCTACTAGGGGGAGCAGGAACATCATTAACTTGGGATTTCACTTCATTCTTTGTTTCCAGGTCCGAGCCATCGATCTTCAAAATCTCTTTAAGCATCTGTGTTCCTTTCTTTAAAAATAAAACAAACCATTCAGGGACATGAAGGTATTCAGGTAACACTACTTTCTTACTTAAATCTGAAAATTGTAATTGGTAACAAAAGCTGAATTTCTGTTTTCCTATCAGTTACATTTTATCAAAGCACAGATAACAGCGCCTTAGCATAAACAAATGTGTTTCTTAATTTTCTTTGAGAATAGCTAATTAAAAGCTCATCAATATGTTTAAAAAGGCAGAATGAGGTTTCACAGAGTTTCTTTAAATAGAAGCATTGATGCTAAGATAGCAGATGCTAAATTGCAATGTAATGATTCCTACAGTATACAGACCATAGCAAATGATTGTGGTGACAGATGTTCTTCATTTGTAGCTCTTGCTTCCTTGGGATAAGTCTGCACTTCATTTTCTTTGGAAATTTTCAAAGAAGCTAGAAGGCTTTCAAGTTCATTGTCCTTCTTAAAATATATGAAAAAAAAAAAAAAAAGGTGCTTTAACTTAGTATATCGCAAGCAGGGTATATTAGTTTGAGATTAATCTTATGCTTATTCAGGATTATTTTTTTTGTCTTAGCTTGGGCACACCACAGTCATGTCTGCTCAGAGTGTAAGCAGATATCCAGAGACTTTTTATCAAGTTCTGCATACTAAAAAGATGCAAGTATTCACCAACAGAGAATTGATTTAAAGAATCATCAAACTCATACAGGTTTGTCTTGTATCTGTTATAAACATGAATTTGCACACAACTGACCCGGAATAATTGGAATAAAATGGACTGGAAACTGAAGTTATTCAAAAAGCACAAGACAACTATCTAGATCCTACCTTTCCACCTGTACTGGGACCATCAACTGCAGCCTTCTGAATTACAGGCATGTTGGGACTTTCATTCCTCTTCAAAAGTTTAACGTTGTACTTATTCACACCTGCAAAATTCTGGAATAAACTGCAGCATTTATTATTGAATACTAATACTCCATTACTCATTATAACACATCATATTAGAAATGCATCTGCAAATACCTTTCATAAGCTAATATTCTTAGAGGATTTCAGCTTACTAAAAACTTAGCATTTGTGTTTACCATTACAGCATAGCTTTTAGAGTCTGACAGGAATAGGAAAATCATTTGGTATCATCATTATACATCTTACGCACTTTCATTTTCCATCTATAAAATCTCTAGAGAAAAAAAAACAACCTCCAAAATTATTCTTTTACTAGGTAAATTTTAACTAAGATGCCAGTTAAAGAGAAATCTGTAAAATGATGAATCAGGTCAGAGTAAAATGAAAAGAATACATTTACTTCGTACAGAAGAAATTACCTGTTTGTTTGATATTTTATTATGTGGCTGACTTTCACCTCTTGTAACTTTGGAATCTTCTTTAACTACAAAAGAACACGTTATTTTGAAATGCTCTTAAAATCATCATCATAACAAGAATTAAAAAAAATTACTAACTCCACAAAAGTACACAGAGTTGCATTAATTTGAATGGTTGCATCAAATGTTTAATTCATACTTTATAGGTCATGCTTTTCTTGTAAGATAAAATAAAATGAAGGATATGCAATAATACATTTAATCTTATATTCTACAAACGTGATCACAAGCACATTTTTCAAAGCCAAGTTGTGGAGTTTTATTGTTTTGGTTTTATATCAGATGGAGGAAAGTTCAACATAATGCAGAACAGCTTGATTAAATAGTTCAGGATTAAGTGTGGAATAACCTAATAGGCACACCAGGAATATTACTTGACAGTAACAAATCTAATGTAGTGTTTATATAACTATAATAAATTATCTTCTGTTCATAACTACAAAAAATTCAATAGGCATTTCAATGAAGATCAGATAAAGCAAGTAGTTTTCCTCAAAACAGTTTCTAATTATAGTACTTACATTTTTTATATGGCTCCTGTTTTCTTTGCTGACCTTTAAAGCTGCTGTCATTGAATCCTGGCTTATAGAACTGATTGCAAGTTCCCAGCTTGATTTCCTGAGGTAGAACTGCACCCTAGGATTTCAAACATCAAACCTTAACCAGGAAACTATGCATCTACCATTTACACAGTAGTCCCTTATGACTACCTCTTTCCAGAGCTATGCATACCCTGCGTAACAATACTTTCATCCCGATGATTTATTTGTAACATTAACTAGAAACTATTCTGATGTAATGAACTGATGTAAGAAATTAAGTACTTCATCTTTTGAACCCAGGGATCTGTTTAAAGTGTATATACTAACCTTCTCATGCATGTTTTGCTGCATGTGGTGAGACTTCCCAGAACTCTGCAATGATTGCCATATGCTGCAGAATTCATCATCTTGCTTACTTTGTGCCTGACAAAATAAGAAACAACAGCCCCAACAAACTCAACATCTATAAACTCAACTTTTGAACAGCTAATCATAAACAAAATCATTCAAAAAATCCTAAGGTCCAAGTTAGCTGTCCTCAGCCAGCAGAAATTTTCGTACTGACACTTAGTAGAACTTGTAGATATCTAATTTATAAAATAGGCTACTATGGTGGGTTGTATTTGCATCACTTTTCCAAAGAATCACTATTAAACTGAAATAAGCTTAGTTTGCTTTGAGATTGTTTTTGTTTTGTTAGTAACAGAAATTATTAACATAAGAAAGATCACTGAGTATAAATGCAGATAATAACTCAAAATGGTTTCAAAAGCATGTTGTCATACTTGTAGTATTCTTAAATTTTATTATTAATGCCTTATTTTGTAAGGCCTTATCAATCAGGCTCAATTGCTTCCCACCATTACATGTATATTACCACAGAACTGAAGCCCAGGTATGTAAAACACACTTTTGAAAATCTAGAATCTAAACAAGGATAACACAAGATCTTATAGTCATTCAAGTACTGGGGCAAGTTCTACTCTAGTCTGTATCCGTGCTAAAACATCTGATATGCTAAAACAAAGCTATTTGTTAATCACCAGAAAAGGACACCCACTCTAAACAGGGGGCCAAAATAAATATTGAGACATTTGGGTCCAATACTAAAGGTATCACTCACTTTGTTTTTCTGATTGCCGCTCAGAAATGATCCTTTCTGGGGTGAGTTAGAGTTGCCCTGATTTTCAGCCCTGAGATTGTAATGCTGTCTTCCATTCAGTTGCTAAATCATTAAGAAAAAATATATATCAGAAGTGTTTCATTGCCTTAAATTATTTCCCAAAATAATTTTGTTTTCTTGTATAGAAATTTTTTTTTTCTTGTATAGACTTAGAAAACATGAGACAATTTTTCTCAAATGCACCTACAGCAACATTAAGTTACCACTAAACTAGTTTTCTTTAAAGAAGTCACTTACTAAAAAATAAAGTTTAATTAAACCAGTGAGAACCCCAATTCACCTGTAATTTTACCTCCTTTACAGTATTTTTCAAAGTAAATCATAACCAAGAAGCAAAACTGACAAGAAAATCATGTCATCTCTTTCTGAGCATGGACAAGGTTGGCCTACAGGAAGCATTACTTGGAACAGAGCTTTAAGGAAATAATTGCATCTCTGCCCAAACTCTTTGTTGACACTTTTAAGGAAATAATTGCATCTCTGCCCAAACAAACTCTTTGTTGACACCAAATGTAGTGTCACTGCTTTGAACTAAATATTTGTCTCTTGGAAATGCAACTGGATCAACTCAAAGCGAAACAACTGTCAATTAGGAACTTTTCGTCCCTTTCATTATTGCATTAACTCATTTCTCCAAGATAAGGATTATCGTACTTATAATTACTGATACAAAAATTACATTTTATTTGTACCAATGAAGATTACCCTGGTCATAATTCAGGTTCTATGAAAAAACGTTTTTGTACAAATGAAAGAAAGGTCTTACTTGAGTAGGAACAAAAAGAGAGCGAGGAGAATGGTTGAGGCCTCCGAGATGCATTTTTTGCGAGCATACAGACGACATATCAGATGTGTATGAATTGTAGTTATTAACAGCTGGCTGAGGTTTAACTATGGCTGTCAGTTTTTGATTTCCCATTTCTGACCGACTACCATGAGAAAGGTTAATTAAGGCACTTGATGGGAGACGATAACCTCTGGCAGGTGAGCACCTTGAGAAAAGCAAATTACATAGTTGTTTCGTGTCATTTAATTATTGACATTTCAATATATCTGGCTTAACAACACTGTTGCCTCTATACGAAAAGATAATGATTCAAGTTTGAACAGCAGAGGCTGAAAACTGTATCCAACATTGAAATCTAGAAACATTACACACAACCGTAATCCCATTTTGCTCCCCTGTGGCCTTTGGTTGTGAAAACCAGAAAACAACCGTAATTACTATTGCTCTGAGTTTATATTGTACCTTTCAGTGCTGAGCTTAAAGAAATTTTAAAGATGAGTGAATTGTTATAGCATAGTTTTGTAGTAAATATTTCTGTAGAAAAATTATGAACCAGCAAAAAAGATTCTCTTCTTTTTCTCAGATGAAAACTGAAGCCAGTAGCAGAATTATAAACTGAAGTTAAGCAGGATTTAGTCAGTTTTATATTGACCGTTGTGATTCTGAATACTGAAGATTATCTGTGCTACAGGACATGCAAGGGATAGGATTGTGTTATGCTTGCTGAACACAGGGAATACCTAAGATTCTCCTCTGTCATAAGAAATCCCTTAATTTATCTACGGACAATAGTAAAATGAAGTCTGCCTGGCAAATTAGTGAACTTAGAAGTTTACCTGCTTACTTAAAAACAGAAAATCATATTTTTTAAAACAAAAGCATTAAGCATGCCTCCACCTCCTGAAAAAAAGGTTATGTTTTTAACTGTGCTTAGAATTTAGTGCCTATGTATCAATTATTTATAGCTCAGTGTCCCTCCTTCAGAGGAGCAGATGATTACTGACTATTTTTTATCTATATGTTAAAGACATACTGATGACAACCTGCTTTCTATAGATTTGTTTTCGAAAGTCATTTGGATCTAGTGCTTTATTCCGCTGGTTCATATTTGCTTTCTACCAATCAGAAGCTTCTAAATACAGTATCTTCATAAAAATTACCCCTACTCAACTAGAAAAAAGAAACACAAAAGAAATTTAAAAATGGACCAGCACCGAGAAATAAAGTTTTAAGAAGTGGCATTAAAAATACTCATGAAACCAAAGGCCACAATTTCATGCCATCTATACCAAGAGCATGAGATGACTATGAAAGCACCTGCACAAACCTTATAGTTAGGCCTCCAAGGAATTCTTCATCAAACAAAACTTCGAAGAGCACATCTGTTTCTCTACTGGCTATAGAAAATGAAGTAAAACGTCATCCTAGATATGTAACAGTAGCTGTTTTCATCTAAATTATATAAATATATGTTACACAATAAATAAAGAGCAAACCTCAACTTATTATCAAAAAAAAATCCCTATGCCATAAATAATTTCTTTAACAGCAATTCAGAAATTATTCTCAAAGTCATACATGGCTACCCTTTTAGATATACTTTTAACATAAATGTACCATGCGTAACAACTTATCAACCTTCATTAACAGAACTGCAATTTATAGCAGTAAGTCACAGTTGTCAGAAACTGCCAGAAAAGAGATGCAAGTCATCTCTTCATTTAGGCAACCAGAAACCGCAAGCTTTAGCATTACCTTCTTGCATAATGATAGACTCATACTTTAAAATTATACTAGTATATAATCATTATGGAGAAAAGAATAACTCTTTTAAAAAGCTGGACTCAAGTCTAGTCTAGTCAAGATTCTGCTGGATGCAAACTGAATAAGAAAGCAACTACTTAAATTCCAGGTAAGAAAACAATTTCTATTACTAGAACTCAAACTGTTACACCCAATAAGACTCCATAAATCCTTTTGTTTACCCGAAATAAATTTATAGACAGTATTCTCAAAGAAGGTGTAAATCCAGGCCATTTTAAAGCAATGGAGTATCACAGAGTAAAAACCAAATTAGAAACAAAACCATTTGAGACACATCATATTTGATAAAATTTTATGTTCAACTCAAGTATTAAGGCTAATACTTTTGTTTTTATCTCTGCTTCTCTTAACTTTGTCCATATCTTCCCAAAATTTTGTTCCTTTTTTACAGCCGGTGTTCTCTCTCATAGATTTCTCTTGCGTTCTTCATATTAAGAAGGAAAAGGGTAATTTCTTATTCAAAGTATAGCTGTGTAACAAATGAAATTAAAATACAATACCTGTAGGTTTAATTCAAAACAGTAAACATGTCACTAGCAGCTTTAAGTTGCATATGCTTTGTAGGTCAGAAATCTCTGTGCACTCACAACCATTCTAGAAAACACTTCTCTGAATCTGCTTTCACATCACTGGCTGAGCTATTATATAGCTATAATCCTACAATTACGAAGACAATATTACCTCCTTTTATTCCTATAATGGTACCTCGAAGACCAACTGGAACGGAAAAGTTTTCTCTCACATTCACAACACGGTCGAACAGCCTGTACTCTGCGTCCCGATCTGGAACAACCCCATTCTGTTGTTCTAAGGGCTGACAACAACCAAAACACTGTGTTAATGTTTGCAAAAAAATAGGGATTACAATCAAAATGCATTTTATATAACTATATCTGAAACACACCATAAAACAAATTTTCTGAAAAGAATTGTTTAAGAACATAGAATTTTCCTTCCCCAGATAAAAAATAAGCTTTCTTTTTTTTTTTTTCTCGCAACTCTCACTCACTGCTGCTGCCTGAGAACAGTGATCCAAGACAGACCAAAGGGATCAATTTAGACAAAACCATCAAGGGTAACCTGCCTGTATCAGTAACATGGGTAGCTGTGAAATACCAGGCAAGATGAGCAGTTGGTCATATGCCAAGAACCGAACAAAAAGCAAAACAGGGAAGAGACGAGAAATCCGTTTTATTTTGCCTTCATTATACAGCCAATAAGAACTGTAGTAGCATGAAGGACAGAAGGTAGAAAAGAACTGAAAGTCAGTATAACAGACGACTGAGTTCGTAGTTAGGAATTCCTTTCACAGATGGGCTACTGTTCTCAAGTTGATTTACTAGAAGACATCATAAAACGCTTTCTTCCATCAACACTGTTCTAAAATTCCACTCTATGAAAGTTGGTAAGCTTAGGTAAAATAATTATGATCTGAACAACTTTAAAAAAACACCTCACATCACTTACTCTGTACAGCAAATGGGGTTTCACAGTTACTCGCACCTTCTTGTTGCTCTTTCTCTGCTAAAGAAAAGGAACAGAAAGCCATTACAAACTAGTGTAGGAAAACAACCTGGATTTCAGGTACAAAAAAAAAACTGAAAAGATAATGTAGAATTCTTTCGTTTCTTTTCAATAAGGTATACAGCTTTCATGAAGTCTTTAGGATGACCAAGTCCAGTTTTTAAAACATGACTGATTCCTTACCAGAGCTTTTGCATTGTTTAGCTAATTCCAGAATTCACACCAATTCTGTTATCATGTCCCAGTAAATAATTTCAAAGAAATCATTCTGTTCTTTCATGTGGCTTTACCTTTAGCTTTTTAGTAATTTCCTTGGCCCCTTTTTTGATCTGTGGCTTTCAGAAAACAACATTCTAGTTTTACTCAGACCAAAGAGAAACTGCAAGGGAACAACAGCTCGTATTGCACTTAGAAACAGCACTTCAGTAGTTCAGAATATACAGACATCTGCCACTTTCTGAAATCACCAGAAAGCAGAGTTCAGAGTATGGGCTAACACTGCTGAATCACCTCAAAAAGAGTAAGTCAATTAAAACGATTAACAATGAGCTCTTCTGAATTTCTGGGACAATTCACATTAAAAGTTCAGATATTACATTACGCTTTGTATTCTTTTTCTTTGGAATGACAAGTGATCTTCAATTGTCTTCTAATTCAGCTGCTTTTTGGTTCACCCCCTCACAATGATGCCAAGCTGCATACCTTGCATTTCTCTATTTCTTCTTCAATTTTCTCAACAATGGCTGCATCCAAAATTTGCAAGTCACAAGATGAACGAGACAAAGCAGACACAGGATGTGCCTTTAACCATGCAACAATTTCTTGAACTTTCTCAGCTCTAGATAAAAAAGGACATGAATACATGAATTAAAACTTTCAGCTGCATAAACTAACTATTTTACCACGGTCCATGATTTAATCAGTCAAGTATTACAATATAGGCACAATGCTTGTATACATTCATAAAGTAACAGTTCTGCAGAAGTTTACAATAGAGGTTAGAAAAAAAAAGTAATAACTGAATAATGCAATACTGTTTCAAAACTAACTTGAAGTTTTGTCTCAGCGAAAAAAAAATACTAAAAACCAAAATTATTTGAAAGTATTCAGTAAATTATGCTTGCATCCAACCAATTAACTATGTCCAGCTGTGATTCTGTGACCAGCTGTTTTTCACAACACAGTGAGAACGAACTTTGGGGTTCTCTGGTAAAATGGAGCACAAATCTGAGATTCTTAAAATAGAAGAGTCCCACAACAGTGTGTCAGCCTGGTAAGAATCCTGTGGATTGCAGCATCACACAGACTTACTAACTCAAGCCCATGAATAGGGCTTACTAGCTAATAATAATGTTACTCTACTGTATCTGGGACCAAGGTGGCTCCTTGCCTCTCATGAAACTGACTGGATGTATACTGAAAATATGCAAAGTACTTTAAATTCTGTACATGTTATTTTTCAAATTCAAAGTGATCTTAAATAATTAAGATTATTATTGCTTATTTTCCAAAGTGATCTTTTGGTGACTATGAAGCAGCCATCGGAAATTAGATTTCTCATTTATTGGACTTGAGATAGGAGTCTGACAGAGACTTGACCTCCACAGCTGGAATGTCCACCATTCTGATAATTTTTTCCAGAGGCATCACCAAACAATTGTGTTGCTCAAGGAACAGCAAGGTTTCAGTTACACAGCAGTCACTATACGATCACCACCAATTTCACAATGTTGTCAGCTTTTATTTCACTTTTTCTATGAAAAAAAAAAAAAAAAAGGCAAAAGAAAAAGAAAACTGGTTTACCCATTCTCATCTTCTCCAGGCCAAATGTCATCTTCATAGAAGATATCTTCCTGGCTGTTCTTGGCTATGTAACTAAATAGTTCAGGGACCCTGAAAATTAATAAATAGAAGACAAACTTAGCTTCACATTAGCATAGACCATACAAAAGCCTCAGTGAAACAAACTTTGACAGGCTTCAAAATTTATGGAGCCCAGGCAGATTATTTTTTACTTAATTTAGTGTCATACTGTTCATTTGTCAAGGGTTAGCTGCTGACAAAACTTCTGTATCCCAAAATATACTTCTCCTGGGAAGGAGAGACTGTTGGAAGGAGAATATTGGAATAAAAGAAGTTCCATCAAGCAATCAAAAAGCAAACTCATCAGTTGTTAGAAGATCTGCGTCCAGAAGACAAAATCCAAAGACTGATACGAAGATGGAGAATTTGGGTGAAGTTAATATCCAATATTTACCTCTCTAAATACTCAGCAAGTAGTTGTTCTACTGCAGAAGAATACATCCATTCATTTCCAACTTTCTTAGTATAACCAGGAACTTCTTCATTTTTCTTATTGAATTTCAGGTTTAGCCCAACATTTGCTTTGTGATCTCCATGAGGACTAGAAATAAGAAGTTGTTTATTAAATTGGAATAATACATGTATGTGTGTATGTACATTAAAAAACCCACATAAACATACATCCTCAGCCTTAAGCCACAGAAAAATTGAATTCATTGTATTGTTTACTTGTTAGCATCGCATCACCTGTAAATGTTACAGGACAGAAGCTGTGCTATGGTAGCTGTCCACATGCATGCCCATACTTTATTGCAAAGGAAGGTAGGAAATATTTTAGTTCTTCCTTGATTGAAATCTAATCAGCCACAAGCTACCTGACATTTACCAAGAAGTAGAAGGATGTCCCTGAAGAATCAGTGGGGAACAAATGTACATGTTAAATCACAAGATGATGCTCATGCATCAATCATTTTTTTAGTGAGCTGTCCCAGGAAACCACAATTCTGACATTCAAAGAGCTATAGCGACTGCTCCCTTACATATTTTAAGCAGTTTTAGTCTTAACTAGTTCTTCAAAAAAATTACAGCTATAACCATTATAGCTTTATACTAGTAGTAATGATAAATACAATGAAGTTAGATCCCAATTCCAATTTTATTCTCAGTGTGGCAAAAAGTTCAAAATCCTGCTTCAATTATGCAAGTAGTTAACCAGGAAAGTCAATTTGTCTTCATACAATACTAAAGCTAACAAAACAAATCTCCAGTAAACAAAAATTAAAAAACAGTTTATGATAGAAGAGATAAACACTGTATGTGAATTCAGTTTACAGCAAATAACCTCTAAAGAAAGCTTCACATCACAAAACAGTTATACACCTGATAAGAACAGTACTTAAATATAGCAGAAATTCTGTAGAGTTGTGTTACAATTTAGAAGCTTCTCTACAATCAAAATTCACAAAGAGAACTTACTTTTTCTTTGATCCTCTTCCAATAAAGATACTCCCTGTAAATCTGGAGACAAGATATCCACTTACTCCAAGACGGCTGGCCAAAATATATGCAGGATTGTATTTCACAGAATATTTCTTTAAAACAAACAAACAAAAAATATTGCCAATTCCCGAAGGATAAGAACTTTTACAAAAAGGGCAAATGAATAATGTGGAAGCATCCCTTAAAGACATTTTACCATTGCAAAAAAGATATCTGACATCTTGTTTAACCTTTTACTAAAAAAACAAAAGCACTTACATGCTGGTTCTGTATTAAAGGATCAAGCTGGGGTTCACACGGAATATTGAAAACTACACGAATTCTACCTTCTGTGATCACATCATGTGAATCTTGAACCTTGAAGAGACAAATGACATATTAAAAATGTTACTTAAAAAGACCCTGTTGTCTAGTTTATCAACAATTTTGCTTCAGTAGGCACAGAGATGCTTTGGGATTCATCATCTTGCCATGACTTGTACACTGCTTCCTCACAGAGGCAATCAAACAGCATTATATCAAAGGAATCCATGACTGAAAATGGTCCAAAATGGGAACTCTCAATATTGCAAATTATCCCAAATAATTAAAAAAAATAATCCTGAATTGAAGCTATGCTACCTTCTTCCTGTTATGCCAGCAACAGTGATAGGGAAAGCAGAAGAATCCCCTCCTTCCTCTGACTAAATCATCAGGGAATCTTTGATTTAAAATTTCAGCTATCAAACGACTACTGCCACAACATCTTAGATTATTTTTAGGCTTGAAAATAAAGCAGTTTAGGGGAAAAAAAATATTTATTGGAACAAACTTCTCCCATGCAGCCGTAGTAAGGAGATCCCAGCATGAAGGCTGTACTTCCAGGAGGAAACAAGTCATCCAAAGTTTTGATGTTTGAAAAACGGGAGTCAAAGGCTTTGATATCCTACATAAAAAAGACAAAATTGATAACGTTAAATATATTTCAGTTCCAGCAGAATTTAGAAAAAGCATCTATTTATATGAACTTTTTAATTAACATTATTTCAGTCTGAACTAATTGACCGAAAGCAGAGAAGTTACAAATGTTGTTACACAAGCAACTATGCTACGCTGCAGAGCACCACTATGGTACTTCATACAAAATAATGTCAGTAAAAAGACTACAAAAAGGCATTTTTTCAGTTAAGATCCTTAAACTGTGCAACAAGGTCCCAAATTTTTTGACAAAATACTTGCCTAAGCACATTATATTTTTTTTTTAATACAACAAATGACATTAATTTAAGATGTTTTTTTCATTCTTTTGTTTTAAAGGAACGTATACCCTTTCCTCCCCATCCATACCCTCCATCCCATAGAGTAAGGAGCTACTGCAGGAAGATACTGCACTTGTACATTTACCTTGACAACAGTTTGGTAAACAAAAGGAAGAGCTTGTTTTGACCACTGCTTCTCCAAATAAACTTCTCCATTTTGTTTTAGCTGATATCTATTACCAGTGAGTAACTGAGCATACACAACTATTGAGGTTTCATGGATAATTATTCCTTTTCTTCTCTGGTAGCTGAATACAAAAAAAGAACATTTAGACTGATTACAATAAACAGAACCGAACCAGCAGGGTTGAATTAAAAAAACAACAACAACAAAAAGCCCAACTTATCTTAACAAAAGAATTCTAAGTTTGCCTCCTGTTTTATAAAAAATACCCAGAATAAATAGCTTAACCAATCACTTATCCATTGTTGCACAGCCACATAGCTAAGTGTGTTAACTTAAATTTGACCTCTACAGTGAGAAGAGTTAGGGGTAATTAACACAGTTAACTCAAGTGACAGATAATAAAATGGCAAGCTGCTATAACTCAGTTGTGTTCCACTGGGCACCCACACTCTAAAAGAGCAAGAACTCTATTCAAATTTAACAATGCTAAACTATTTAAGTTGAACCTTGATACTGTATGACTCCATTCTATATATTTCCTACAACTGAAGATTACTAAAACCAGAACAGAAAATTGAGTTGGAGAGTAAAAACTGAAACTAATTCATTGGAGAATTCTTTTGTAACAGTATATTAACTTTAAATATCTAGGGACTAATTCCATATACTATGAAATTCAACATAAGCTCTTTTATGTTGTGGTTTTTGTTTGTGTGTGTGGGTTTTTTGTTGTTTTTGTTTGTTTTTTTTTTTAATTCCAGCACTCATTAAACTTTATCATCAGCAGCTCTTCTCTACTATTTAGGTATACACTACAGCCATAAAACATAGCTAAGTTATAAAATGCAAAGTTACACTTTAATTTTCAAAGTTACTTACTGCTCTGAAATGCCTTGAACTTCTTTTAACCACATGCTTTGTTCCTTATCTCCAACATATGCCACTTTAGTCGGGGGCACTGCATTTCCCATGTAAAGCTTTTGTGTACCGTGTGGTTCTTCCAAATAAAACCTTAATAAAATCATAACAGGCACAAATTTAACTGAGTTAGATTAATCTAGACACGAGAAAAACTTAAAATAGCTAGAAATTACTTGTTAAGGACATGGAAAATTTGCAGAACCATTTTCTCTACCCCTTCCACGACAGGACATGCAGCATGCTTTTTATAAAAAATACCAGTGCATGTGCTGAAAGGAAGATTGTAAAGAAAGAGTTCTCTTTTACATTATTCTGTGTGAATTTCTTTGTATGCCTTTTTCCCCTTAAAGTTAAGAATGAGCTCCTCCAAACTTCTACATCTATAGCAAAATACTGAAGGACTAGACTTCAACAGAGATAAGCAAACCTCAGAATAACTAGAATTATTAATAATTAAGCAAAGGTTCTTCCATTAAGCAGCCTTCGGCATGTCTGGAATAATTTGCTGTTAGCAAATATTATAATAAAAATCAAAAAAACTGTTGTACAACCTAAGGAATTTATTTTGAATAAAACAAAGATGACAAACAACTATCTATGAAATGTCTCTTACTTAGTTTCTCCATCTGACACAGCAATAACTCTAGCTTCTTCAAGGTGTGGCCAGTTAACAAAAACACGCTTTCCAAGTACCAAACTGGCAACATTTTCTACCATCTGAAAAAATAAAGAAGTTACTATTACTAATAGCTTAAAATATTAAAAGATTTTTATTAAAATATTTTCAAACTGCTTTTGCAATAAAATCTCCTCTAGTTATGAACAGGTTTTTCTTGCAGAACAAAAAGCTCATTTTAGTTTATTAAATTCTGTTTTGATACATACTATATAATCTCTGATTAGAAACAGAGAGTCACAATTCTTTTTTTAAGACAAAGTATCGTATTCCAAATGTGGCTCTTTACATCAGCATATGTTATTTATTTACATTTCTATTATATGGTTACTATGTACTTTCTTTTGTTAAACCAATTAGAACTATTCATGCATCTGGGACACCATAATCAAACTGACAATTTGAGAGTAGTGAAATAATCTGTACCATAAATTTCACTTTTGTATCTCATTGAAACAAGGAAACAGCACTTACATGCAGGGCTTTACTAGCATCTGTAATTTTAGTCTCACATTATGTTCTATTTTTTCCAATTATTTTCTGCTGGTTTTTAACCTATTATTCTGGCTTATTTAATTCTTTCTGCCATGTATCTTGATATTGACTCTCCCTATCTCTCTACTGTAACCTTACTGTTTTCCTCCTCTCTGCTTTCCTGTTTTTCCTTAACTGTTTATCTCAAACATTTTTCTTTTTCTGGATTTGTCTTTTGCTACATGACGTTTTTAATTATGAAGTAGAGTTGGCTTTTAAAGGATTCAGAATAGATATTTTGCTTCCTAATATCTCTGCGTCAACTCTTTCCTCTAAGTCCTTTATCAAATAGTCTCACTTAAATGGAAGGTGTAAGTCTGCTTTGTTGATGAAAGGGGACTGATTAAGAAGAAGTGTCTATATACTCAGCACCCAAAAGACAAGGAGCACTGGTCTGGAAACTCTGCTTCCTTGCATTTATACCAATTCCAAATATCATTTAAGTCAGAAGCAAGTCTCACCAACTCTTCACCTGAGATTACCTGACAGCTACCACAGAGAAATGCCAGAAACTCTACTTGGGAGACTTTCTGAAGCCAGGACAAAGTTAGATCTTTCAGCAGATTGCCAAAATTCTAGGCTGCTCACCACAAAAAATTTAGCATTTTAATCCTAATTTATTTTTTACTATTGACTACAATAGTAAACAAAAGCTTTCAGTGTGAACTAATACCGCTGATATTCTCAGTGAATTGATTCAGCTGATGTTTTCAAAACATATTCCAAGAATACCACCACGGCATGGTCTCAACTTTGTGTTGGGAGCTAAGAACTCCAGAGTTCTTACTCCAGTAACTAATTCTATGGCCTCAAACATACAGCCATATTTCACCTTCCTGTCTGTTACTCATATTTTAACAACTTGTACATAAAACTCATTTTGAAATCAAAGCATTACCGGTTAAATAAAGTTTTTTAAAAATCTAAGTATTATCTTTTAAATTTACTATTCTATATATCTAACTACTCTTTTTTAAGAAATGCTTGGGTTTTACCTTTTTGGAAAAAACTTTTTCAGTACTACTCTAAATGTTTTCCCCTATAATACACTATTGAGAAGATATAAAAAACCCCAACTTTTCAAACCTGGCTACTTAACAAATTCAGTCTTTTTATGATAATTTTTTTGTTAGGAGCTGAATACTTACCTGTTCTTTTGAGTTCTCATCAGCTATGATTTCTAACATCATGTTCTCTCCGTGACTGCTTTGCTGAAACACCTGTACACCACTTTTTCTAAGATGGAACTGGGTAAAAACAAAACAGCACATAAAACTCACTTGAAACTCTTACATAGTTACCTACTAAATAGAATTGAAAATCTCAAAGAGAGAAATCTTTTACCTTATGCTTAATGTGCTTTAAAGTAGGAAATCCGCAAAAATATAATGCGCTCTTGTTGATTTTAGTTATCTTATTGTGGGTTATTTCTACGTGCCAAGCATCCAAAGGTATTGTTTTATACCTAAAAAACAAGTAGTACAACATTTCTCATACAGATCAACCTTCGGCTCTAGAAACTCTCATTGCTTGTTCAAACATTCATTATTTGACAAACCCTTTAACTTTCCTGTAAAGTGGTAATTAATTTAAGCAACTTGAAATCTATACAAATGACTACAAAAACCCATGCTATTGCTGTAAAGAGACTACTCATTAAGACAAAACTTCAAGCCATGGTATGTCCCAATCTCACTATTTTAATTCATTGTTATTGTCAAATTCTAATCTAGTAATGATACCATATGGTATCTTTCATCTTCACAACTTCATTCTTCTAAACTAGCAATGGTTCCATACAGCACCATCCACCTTCAGATCTATTCATTCTTAATAGAGTGAATCCTTAACAGGGCGTTCCTCCCCTATTTTCCTTTAAGTTTGACTACTATTAAGGTTACGTTTCCTTTTAGTCTTGAAACCTCAGCCAGTGATAAAGCTAGCTGGCTGCTTTCAGTGAGAGGAAAGTGAACCACACATTTCTGGTCAGCTCTATGCACTGGATCCAAATACTTTCTTTTTTCACAAATGGTCTGGAATTAGCGTACTGATAAATCATCACTATTATCAGATATTTATAACCAGTCTTTTATCCTCTGTATCATACAAAGTTTAGTAATTCTCTAGAGTGCTCTTGCTAACTCAGCATTGGTTCACCTGTTTTACAGAGCAATATTTGAAAAGGGAGGAACACTCTTACCGCGCCACTCACAACAAGCAACATCTAATTCACTATCTTACATTTTTCAGTGTATATACTGACACACACAAGCTTTGGTTGAAATGCTAATAAAAGTGTTCTAACAACTTTTCGTCTACTCCAAAATAGTTATGCCAGCATTACCTTGTATGACATCTTTCTATTGCAGGGAATTTCTCTGGCCATGGTGACAAGTACTGGAACTCTGCTTCTTTGTCATACCAGTACATTAAGCAAGCACTGTGAGTATTTCTTCGTTTCTCCTCTTCTTTTAGGCACTTATTACAGGCTTCCATGGCCTGCAGCAGCCGTTTCTAAATTGTAGAGAAATTAGCGTGTGTAAAACTGGCAACAAAAATTAGCACAGAAACATCCACATTTGGAAAGTGGATACCTGCACTTTTCTGGTTAACGTGTTAATTTTCTAATTGCAGCTTCACCCTTCCTTATGTCCCAGCTCTCTGATAAAAACAGCACCATTACAATGGAATGGCTTTGGAGAATAATGATTACCTTTTTAGCAAACATGCTTCCAAAGGCTAGCCATATTTTGCCTTTTACATTTAACATACAAAGTAATATTAAAAAGATTTTAGATGTTATTATAAAATTCTGCAAAATAACTATTGAAGAAGCTTCAAAATCTTATGGGTCATTCAAGTAGCAACCATTATCTTTTGTGAGACGAGTCAGTGCTGCTAACCTTTCACTGTGACCTACGGAAACAAACCAACAGGCACACACCACCACCTGTGTATATCTTAAAATCTGATCTGCATGTTTATTTTCATCCACTCTTTGATATGCTTACATCTAACCTGATAAAAGATATTACAAGAATATATATAATACTGTTATCCTATATGCAAAAGGAAAATGTTACTATTTTATTCCTCTCCGTTAATATTTTACTGTTTAATTAGTACTTAGTTTTCTATCCATTACTGATGTTCATATGAAGATATTTTCTGTAAAAAGACTGGGTTTTTTTTTCCAAATGTTTCTTTTATTCTACCTACAGACATTCTGTATTTTTATATGTATATAGGAATAAACATTTTTTTTCCTCAAAAAATATGAAACTACAAATTTGAATAACTGAAAAAAACCCTGAACAAACAACAAGAAGTCCACATCCCTTACTTGGGACTTCTGCCACTTGAAACTAACTTTGCTTGTGGTAACTTAATCTGGCCTTACTCTCCAGGCAGCAAAATTTATATTTTTCTGTGGTCTTATCAAGTGTTAATGTAAACTTCCAGTTAATTGCACATCTAACTGTTGATTAATTAACAAGTTTAGTACATTTGTTACGAAGCTTTTGTAGACAGCAGACATTGAAAGAACTTACCTCATCAATAAACGGGATTAATACTACAGCTTCCCATTCTTGCTGTTTACCATTTAGGTCAGTTTTAAAATCCGGTGGATAGTATTCTATAATAGGAGAGTCTTGACTAATCATCAAATGCTAAGAAAACACAACAGAGGAATTAAACAATATCAAAGACAATTCAGCACTAATACTAGGAAAAGATAGAGGAAGACTGGTATTAAAACCAAATCAAGGCTGAATAGGAATTCAACATTTATCGTTTTACTGTCCTAGCCTGAAATTGCTTAGGAAATGCAGAATTCTGTATTTATTACTAATGTCACCATGTAATAAGAATTGTAAGAAGCAGAATATTTAAGCATACACCTAAAATTTAGAGGTTGAGTATAACTAAGAGGACACACAAAAATATCAAGAAAAGACTTGCTTCAAAATAAAGCAGACATCCAGTAAGAGACAGAGCAATGTAATTTAATTCTAAATCCTACCTGGTAGCATTTAGGCAGCAGATCTTTGCTAGCTGCTGGAAGCACAGCAAGGAGCTGTTCAAATGGCATGAAAGGTTTTCCCAGTTCAAATTTGATTTTGAGTTCACTGATGTTGCGAATATCTGACAAGTAGGGTGCATAATGGTACGGGTAATACCTGCAGGAAGAACCCCTCTTCAGTTACTTGATTTAATTATATCACAGTAGTGTTCATAGATCAGAAACAAACTGAACTACATTAAAAGTTTCTAGGATACAACGTGAAGTATCACCTGATCTTTAAGCAATTTCCCATTTAACAATTTTTCTTACCAGCTCCACGACTGAACTCCATGGTAGTAATAATGCAAAATCCATTGTATTGCCTGGACGTAACATTCAGCTTGATCAGCCAAGAAGTCACTTGCAAGAAAACGGAAAGATACTTATTAGTTTTTCTCATTTTCACTGGTATATAAAAATTACTTAGCACCTCATACATAGAAATAAAGATAAAGCATTCTAGCAACCTAAGACTACCACAGTTTTCTAGATTCATTTAATACTAATGGAGCTTTCCTCTTGTCCTCACACACTTGTTAAACTTGACTGGCAGCTCTTCTTGCATTAGCCAAAAGCATCACCCCTGCAGTGCACTGCCATGTGTTCGCTGCTTTCAACATGAATGAATAATTTCTGTTGTATTAGACATATGCAAAGACTTGTCTTTGGGGTTTTAGAAGAGAAAAAAAAAAAAAAAGACTAAAAAAAATACACTTACTCAGAAACTACTTCTACACCCATCTTAGTCATGTAGTAAGTTCTTTTGTATTGCCTAAACTCAGTTTCAAACAGATCATCATCTTCTGGTTCATCTTCCAACGCAGCTGAAAAAGCAGTCATGAAAAAAAAAAAAGAAGGATTAACATTCACTTCTCTACTACAATAAGGTTAATAAGGTTTGAAGACATTCAGTTTGGACTTAATGCCTTACACTTATTCCTCAATTCACAATTATAGGTTCTCATACTTTCCCTGAATTGGGGAACACAAAACAAAGTCTTTACCCAGATGAAGTCTGAAACTTTTTTTCCATTAAAGACAGGCAACCCATTTTGTAGCCCAATTACAAGAACAGGGAGGAGAATATAAGCCATCAGAAAAAAGTTTAAGAAAAGGTTAAAATAAATTTTAAAACTTATTCTTTTTTCAGCAACATCATCTTATATTATGGAGCACTATCTATACATTTTTTGACATTAAATTTCAAAACATGAGCAAAATACATTTCCTACAAGTGGAATGAGTTTAAAAACAATCAACACAACCCAAACCCCCAAAGCTATATAAAAATCTGTTCATTTGTCCCCACCTATATAATAAAATAAATGTTGTTGAAGATTTGGTCATTCATTCCTTTAATTTGCCATGGTAATACTGGTCAAGCAAGAAGCCCTTGAAAAGGTTTAGCCTCACTCCTTCTCACCATAAACAGGTGATGTGCAGTTCCACTTCCCAATAGCTGACTACGTAACTCATTTAGATTAAGGTTATCTCTGACATCAAATTCCTACAGATCTCCTAATTTATACCCTAATTAACAAGTTTTTCTCTTATAAGTATATGGAAAAATTATTTGTACTTACTTTTAGGGGTCACAACTTCACCTTCATTTTTTTCTAAAGCAGCCAAACATATAGAATTTTCCTGAGCCTATTAATTTAATATTTGAGATAAAGTAAAAATGCAGAACAATATGCACATATCCCATTCACAACCATATAATCTGCAACTCAAAATGCTATGATCAAAATGCATAAGTATTATTATTGTTTAGTATAAACCTAACCTATTAAGGTTATAACCTTAATAATAACCTGATAACCTACATTACCTTCTTTTGCAATTGCCTAAGGAAAATTATTTTATCCATACAGGATCAGACAAAGGAGCAGTCACAAATAAAATCTCAATTACGTTTAAGAAATACATTAGTATCTTTTTTTCCAAAATACAACTATTTCCAAAACCATGCAGTAAACCTATAAGCATTTTTACTTATATCATGCTCGGTGCTACAGCACCAGTATGCAATCAAATTTTTAAACAGTAAATTTTTAGGAGTTCAAATTACTGCTGCTACTCTACTCTCTGGTGATGTCATATATTGAAGGACAGCCAACGGAGATGGTCACGGGGAACATGACAGCGGGGCAGAGTCAAGATACCGAGAAAGGTGCTGTCCTTGTTACTTAATTATATATAGAATTGCCAGTTTAATAACCACTCTGAGATTGCTCACACCAACGACACTGCAGTTTATCTATTAATTGTCAAATAGTCATCTGATACCAAGACATGCATGAATGATCTATCGCTGTACCTCAAATAGGTAAAACTTCCAGCAGGCTATGCACTGAAATGCAAAATTATAAAGCACAACAATTTGACCATAATTCACCCAGAAGTAAGTTTTGCTGCTGTTGAGGAACAGATATTAAAGCACTAAGTTATGGGTTTACAAGAGTTGAAAAATCATGAGAACCTGACCTTGACTTCATCACTCACAAGCAGCAATGTATACAAGCAGTTCCTCAAATGTTGCATTTTACTATCTTTTCTGATCTCAAAACATAGGTTTATGCCACTTAATTTGTCTAAGATCATGTTAGTGATTTGCAAAAAGTGACATGCAATTTTGGAAATAACAGCATGTAAAACACTAACCTTTTGTTTCTTTTGTTTATTTTTTCTGGCTTCTTCTGCTGCAATGCCAGCTGCCTCGTTGAGGTATTTATTGCCTACTTTACTTTCAAACCATTTTAGGTCTACAAAGACTTCACTGAAGTGTTCACGATCAAACTGCAGAAAAATTAAAGTTTAGAAATTATTGAGGGTTGCCAAATTTAGAGTGCTAAATTAACAATGTCTTTTTATTAGATGCATTAGATTACATCTACAGTCATTTGCACATAAAGATTTTGCAACTAAACTAATAGATTAATATTAAATTATTTTTTCTTAACAATATATAACATATTTTGTTTTCTTTCAGTAAGGCAGCAGTGGGTAACAAAAAGAATAAGAAAACTTCCACATTTCACTATCAACTCTAGAAGAAGTAGATAAGGTCTGGGTAATAGTCTTGTGCCACACACCCAACACTTTCATAGTTCTGCCCAAGGATTAGAAGACAGGGCTGAAGCAGGGACAGCAGATGGCCTTACACCTTCCAGGTTCAGTAGAAGGCTGAGATCTTTCCATTTCTATATGGCCTATATCTTTTGTCATCTCTAGGACGGACTACTGCAATAGCACTTTACAGGACTGCCTCATGTATGCCAGTTAGTTTGTGAAAAGTGCTGATGTCTGCCTCAGAGATACCAATGCTTCATTGCTCTTTATCAGTGACCTTCATAAAAAACTTGCAAAAATACGCTGTACAAGATCTTCAGACCCCGCAGGAAACTGAACAGCAGGGGAAGTAAGGAATATTGCTGCCTGCAGCATGCTTGGCCCAGTACTGCCACTCATTACTCAATGAGAATTGAGGACCGTGACTCTACTGGTGAATCCTCATTTCAATTGCAGTACTAAAAGATGCTGGAAATAGCATAGGTCAAACAATTCGATCTCTTTGCTCTCACATTACCGTAACATCAGAAAACAACTGATTGGATCCCATCAGTTAAGTGATAAAACAGCTGACTGAACCACTTGTAAAACACAGTCATTTAACAGTGCATTAAAACTACAGCACGGTATATTTTAGGGCGCTGTGTTGAGGTTATATTCAACAGACTATGCCATTCTACACCGTGTAATTTCAAAGTTACTTACATCTGACAACCTTGTAAGATATTTCTCAAAGCGTTTTAAATTCAGATGCCCATTTTCATTTATGTAACCTATTGGGAAGATAAAGGTGTTCTTTTTTGTAATTAACAGTTTAAAAAATGTAAATTCACATGCCACATAGATAACAGAACACAACCTTGCTGGTTTTCAACAGGGAGAGTAATAAGTACTAAACATTCTAACCCAGCTAAAAGGGTCAATGAATATTAACACAGGAACATTAATGTTTCTACTTCCCACAACTAAACTTCGGGTTCTTACCTCCCAGTTCTGGCAAGATAGCCATATATGTTCTATAAAGTAGCGGCAGTGCATCATGATTAATGTGTAAATGAGGTAGATGAGGAATAAAATCATTTCCTACAAGGAAACCCATTAAGATCCAATCATCTATTATCCTCTCAATATCATATTCAAAGGAAATCTTGTCCTGGGGGGGGAAAAAAAGAAAAAAACCCAATCAAAACACAAAATCCACAGGAGCATGATTTTTGTTATCACGTTTGCATAAAAAGACCTCACACATTTTTTCAATCACAGCTCCATTAGAACTTACTTTTACTGGTGAAAATTCATAATCAATATATTCTCTCATCAGAGATAAGTGCAGTAAATGAAATGTGGTTTCCTCTGGTGCACATGCTCTGTAAATTATTCAAAACAGTAAGTTAATTATTTATAAACACACTCTCAACATAAATAATTAGTAAATCCAAGGTTACCTAAAACCACGTAATCTTACCAGGATTATATCTTTGCAGAGGAATTAATGTATAAACATGTCTTTGAATCTATTTTAGTAGTCATCTGGTTTGAGTCTATAAAATTTTGCAGTAGAATCTTCTAAACAGCAGATGTGACTGGACTGTATGGAAAACAGCTAGCTTAGAGAAAGCAGGGCTGCTCTGTGGAGTTCCATGTTGCATCAACTGTCTCCTAAATAATTATCCCACTGTCCAAAAAAGGGACAACCTAACTTTGCAGGAAACCCAATATATTTTAAGGTATTTTAGAACTAGTATGAGTACATAGAGAGCACACAGATTCATGCCTAAATTGGCTGGATTACATTTGCAGTCATTTGAAATGCTTCTTGAAAGAAAAGACTATGCTCAACTAGAAAATATGCTCCATATGCATTATCTAGTGGCTTCAACACTTTTGTACTACAGCACCAAAACCTGACAAACATACTGTTTGTTTATGGCATAAATTAGTCAACATATATTCTGCCTTCTTTTCCTCTCTTCACTAAAATTACTTAATACTTAAGCCAATATTATGCCAAAATCAGTTAAGAGGTACACCTAAAGATTAATTGGCTCAAGACTGATATGTTTTAAATTCATAAAGGACGATTCCACCATGTAGATACCATAAATAATCGGGACCACCTCCAAGGACAAACCAACATAAACACCTGTGTATTCACACAGACACATACAGAGTAGCTTTTGGCCAAAACGTACTAGAGGAAGATGGGTGTGATACACAAGTGCATATGAAGACTACTAAGATGAACTCTGAGCCACACTTGGCTGCACAGAACTTCAGACCCAATTCTGTCACTTTTTAAACATAATTTTCATATTGGTATTAAAGAACTTTGGCAAATCCAGGTCGATGCTCTAAGACTCTAGAGGCATTTTGCCCCTTATTCTTCATTGCACTGGACTTTAAAATCCAGGTAAAACAAATAATTTCTCTCAACCAAGAAATTGCTGACAGATATTAATTTGTATGGATTTTCAGTATTTTCAAATTTCCAACTGTAAGTATTAATAAAAGCGACAATATTGACAGAAGGCAATTCTTGGAACTTCCAGAAGTAAATTCCTGTAATGAGCAATAGTATCCAGAAATTAAAACAGGAGCCAAATATGGAACAATGCTTGAGGGAGGGGAAAAAGAATTTTTCTTGGCAATAAAAACATTTGTTTACTATCAAAAGTTATGCATTTTTATATCTATATATCTTTATATGACTAATCACTGTATTATCCAAAATCCTTTTTGTATCAAGAAGTGTATTTCTCTAGGTCTCTCCCATCACCTCCTTTTATCCACCAAATAAATACTGAAGGTCCTTCAAAGAAGGAACCTAGCCACAGTAACAGTTACAAATCATTTTTTCTGTTACTTCAGAATAGCTCCATGTACATGCACAGTTCTGGGACAAACCACCTTGTTCTGACTGATTATAGCCCACAAGATCCTTCAAACAGGCAAATCCAGAATAAGAGCATCCAGTCAGCCACTTTGAGAGAGTTTATTTTGGTAATTATTCTAGTAATTTACTTATATGCACAAAACCTCAGAGATATAAATACATTTTTTAAAGTCCATATCTGCATAAGACAATTATGGGAACAATGTCAGTACAGCCTGGGCTGCTCTATTAATAATATGAAGATAGAAGCACAAGACACCAAAGCTCTAAGGATATTTTTATCAGCTGTCCTGACATTTACATTTTCTCATGTAAACAAATTCAAACGCACAATTTAACAAGTTGATTTCTCTAATTTCATGCATTTTCCAAAACAAAAGACTTTATTTAGTAGCAATCAATAAAAAAACCCCTGTTTTAGTCACCTAGTACCTTTTGGATTTAATTTCGTCATATATAAAATAAGAGTAAAGTTAAATCAGTTCACCTTTGAGATTTTTTACCACCAAATCGGACTTCTTCTCTTAAGAGCGCAAAGTGAGCCTCATGACTTGTTAATCCCAGCATAATCTATTACAAAAAGATAATAGAAAGGTCTTACTTAATTATTTCTTTAAACTGTTACTCAAGATTTGAGCAATATACATTTTCCTGTTCTGTTTCATTACAAATTCAGAAGTCTGCAGGAATACAAAATTACATGCTTGTTCAATAACATTTTAGGAAGACACCAAAAACACACACACTTTATAAACTTCTGTTGTTTGTATTCATTTTAATTGCACATACCAAGTCAGCATCTAAGCCATAGAGACAGTGTCTTGTGTTTGGATCATGATGGGGTTTTGCTTTTTCTGATCTGATGAACTCCATAATTTTATGCTCACCTTCCCCCGGAGTCTGCACACAAAAGAAAACCCCAGAATTAATCAGTAAGTATTTTTCTATAAAATAAATTTTTTTAAAAAATAAAATACTAACAAAATAGAATGACCTCATGGCCTGATAAGTAGACTGTTACTCCTTGCCAGGATTTGTCTGTAGAAATCTTCATATTTACAAAATATTTAAGATGCTCATGCAATCTGGCCATGAATTCAGTTCCTGAAAACAGAAATCTCAGTTAAACACAAAGCTTTTCACTAGTCATTCAAAACTGCATTTACATATCAAAAGTATTAATGAAAAGAAAGAAAGACTAAAAATTCTGCAAGAGATCAAGGGAATAGCTGTTTTTCCCGAAGAGGTTTCATATTTTGCATAGCAACCTAAAGAACTTTTTAGAATGAGACAGTACTCCAGCCCTACTAAAACTTACTAAAACTTCAGTTTTCAACTTACTTCAGCCTTTATCAACTCTATCCTCTATTTTTAAAACAAAGCCTTCAGACAGGAAAACTAAACACTTAAAATTTAAATAACTAATTATCTTACTAATTATATTATTAAATAACTAAATTATCTTACCTGGTGTAATACAGTTGGAGTCAAATCTGGCTTCTGTGGGGAGAGTTTCTCCCTTTTCTAATGCCTTTTTTATTTTGTCCTCTGCCTCTTTTGCTGATCTAAAACAAAACAGTTGGAGAGAGGGAGTAGAGACAGAATCATCTTATTCAAATGTTAATATCCTAAGTATAGCTTTACTGACAAAATACATAAAGTTTATTTTTTAAAGAGTAGATTGGTTTTTAAAAAATAAAGGGGGAAGAGGGGAGAAATTTAACTCCTGAATAGAGTGTGAACTTGTTTCTGATGCAACTGGAAGGCTTAAAAATACCATTTTTCCCCCCAATAATGATGGTAAGTAGTCATTACTCAGATACAGGTAATATTTAGATTACCAAGATGATAATTCAACGGCTGATCACAGTAAAAGCAAGTTAACGTTTATGTAATTAATGTTAAAAAACAATAGGAATACTCGGTATCTAAACACCTGAAAATGCCATCCCCGAACAATAACGTAACACAGTTAAACAAAGCAGCAAGTTTGGGATACCATGAGAGCAGGAAGGGTGAACTAACAATTTACCATCGCTAGTAATGGAGGAAACAAACAAACATCACCCTGGCCTTTCTTGGCCAAGGATTTCATACCCACTTTTGAACCAGAAAAAAAAAGCCACCAACATCTTAGATTTTTGTCTCTCTCTCAATTCTGCTCCAATTTTCTATTTAGAACTCTTTCTTAATCTTTTCTTCCTCTGAACCTCATTTTTTTCCTTAAAAAAACCCAACTACCAAAAGCCAAAAATGACAAAAAAAACCCTGGTAGCTTGAAAATATTTTCACTTGTCCCATTATCGTAGTTTGTCTATGTCACATTTCACTCGCCACCCCTATACAGTCTGACCACTGGCTTTCTTTCCTTATAGCAGTCTTCAAAAAATCCTCCACATCTCCCAAAAAACTAATACAATTCTTAACACTGAATTTCTGCTATGAATGTCAAAGAACATTCCATTGTAGTTTCCAAAAAGGTGTATCTAGAATTAGCATTCACAAATACCAAAGACTCTCACAGGTTATGAAGCCATTGGAGACATCTGTAAGAACTTCACTGCAGATTTATGTCATAAATAATTTAACAGGAAAAAAGCTCTCCATGCCCCCAAGTCCCACATACACAGAAAAATATTTCCATTAACAAGCAAACTCTCCTTTTTGGAATCCTGAATTTACATATTATCATTTTACAGGTAGTTACTCTCATTTAACTAAAAATTAAAGCTATTGTCAAGGTATATTTTGCTTTTCATAACATACATTTAAGTAAATGGTTTTTAAAGTGTTTACTATCCTAAAGACAGAACAAGAACAAATATTATCACCTAAAACGTCTCCCACGCTGTTGATTCATTTTTGCTCTTGGAGCCACTCCATCAACTGCCATGAAGAAAACCTTCCTTGGTTTAATAATGCGAAACAGTACTTCCAAGTAGTGAAAAATATCGGCAAAAATCTTATCTTCTGAGATTCTGAAGTGAACGTCATCATCATTTGGATGGGAACACTGATGTATAATGCCATTCATGTCCAGGTATAAGTTGTCAAATTCTGGAATCTACAAAAGCCATAGTTAGTACCCACTCAGCGAGAGCTGAAGCAATGTAATCACTGCCCAAGGTATGGCTGAGATAAATGAAATCCAGAAACGAGCTGAGGTGGGAAGAACTCCCTGGAACCTACTGCACGCCAGTAGGCTAAGAATACCTTGACTGGTTATAGGTTTGTCTGCACCTGCAACCCATTACTACAATTTTCCCAGTGAAAAAGTCAACTGAACAGATTTCTATCCTATCCTGATTGTTTCTGATACTTAGGACTTCTGTCCCATGTGCTTGACCAATCTTATACACTGTGAGAGGAAAAAGCAATTAAAAAAAAAAACAACCAAAACCATCACACTTTTCAGGAAGAAATAATTTTATTTTTTTCATAACCCCACACATTTCACTGGTTCAATCTTGTGTAGCTGCAATAAAAACTACAAAACTGAGTATGCAGTTTCCAACTGTACTCCAAGAGCAAAGCCCGCTTAAGAAGCTTTAGGACTCTCCCCCTGTTACCAGTTCCTACTATGACCACCGCATACTGCCTCTTCAGCAACACTAAGAGCTGTCTGCGAGCATAGAGAGTGGCAATTACCACCAAAAGCAGCAGTTATCAATGATAACATCAATTTCTTTCCCTCATTCTCCAAATTTACTTTTTTCTGTCTAGTTCTCTTGTTCTTCTAACAGCCTTATTGGTAGCAGTCCAACTTTCTTTTAAAGGAAAAAATCCCTCCCCTGAATGTACACAAGCAACATATAGAGCACAAACACTGATAAACATATGAAGCTAACAGGCTGTTATGTATCTTTTCGTTGCCAAAACACACTAAACATGCACAAGAGCAATTTGCAATAAAAAACCCTATTCTTTAATCCACCAATATGACTGTTCATAAAAACACTCTTGCGATTACAACTGGGAAAAGGCACTGCTAACATTTTGTGATTTTCTGTAGTACTGCTACTTGCATATCTTTACATAATTTTGAAAGGCATGTTGCTGGACTTGAATTTATCATCCAGATACAAGAGAAACCTAACTCTATTTCAGAAAGAGGAGTGACAAAGGGAAGAACCAAGAGGCAGGATCAGGAATGATCTCCGGTCTCCTTTGTCTTCTTTTGCACATAAGATCTTCAGTACAGTTAAATGCAGTAAATCAAACTGCTTTCAAAATGCTCAAACACCACATCATCCACCCAGGCACCAACTTTCAGATAACGAGGGAGCAGGGCATTGCACAGGTAGCATTATAAAGAGATGAAAACTAAAGCTTTTACATGACAGCAACATATATATGAAAAACAGATGACCTTTCAAGAAGCACAGCTACAGTATGATTTAAAGAAAATTACGTGTTTTACATAGGATTTGCCTTTTATTCTGGGTAGCTTTTTCCGTAATAGCAAACTAAAATCCTAACCTAGATGCTAGTATGTATCAGTCTGCATATTCAGGAGATCTAACAGAGAAAAGAAAGGGAATACACGCTACTGTTGAAGCTTAATATCACAGATAACAGTCCAGACATTTTCTTTTTTCTTTTATACAGAGTAAATACTCCACATAAGCAAACAACATCATCTAGCCTTCAGAAAGACTAACTAGAGAATGACATTAGCACTGGCATACATGGTTGAGTTGTGCTTTCTGCTTAAGACCCTCTTTCAGAAACCATCATGATGCTACCCCCTGGTTAGAGCAGACACACGCTGACTCCCTCAGCTGCTACAGTTCACCGTTCTTCAGCCAAACTTCAGCTGCCACCAATTTCAGTGAGCAGCCCAGGCTTTTAAAAAACAGCTGAAAAGTCAGTATACACTGCTGCTGCTTTACTACACTGACAGCATAAGACGCTGTAGTGAAGTCCAACAAATCACAAGCAAAGACTTAAGCTTTGAAACTAGAAGGAAGGGTAAGACATCCAGGTTTGGAATCACTTGAGCAGAGCATCTTAGATATATTGATACCATTACTGTTTAATCTTTTAATATGCTATCGGTTTAGGAAAGATTTATTAACACTCAAACATGCCTTGAATCATCACCCAACTCATCTCAGAACATCCTTATTCAGATAGTAAAAGCACTTCCAGAATGCCAGTTACAAATACTAACAAAAAGTTAAGAGCTTGTGTCTAACAGGTGCCAAACAAGGTTTCTCTAAAAACAAGGCTTTTTTGCGTGACTGATAAAAACATTACTTGCTTTCACATTTCAGGCTTTAACTTCCTTCTCATTTTTTCTATCAATACGGACTGTCCAACACACGTCACAAGGAGAAGCCGCAGCGGAGCTGTAAAACCTGTCTGTCTCTCGTCATTACTGTTCATTACTCGTCAGCAGCAGGAACTTTTTCTGAGCCCGGTAGGGAGGAAGCTCCGGCCGCCTGCTCCCCGCGGGAGGAGCGCCGCCGAGCTCCGGCCGGGCCGGGGAGCCGAGGGGGAGAGGAGAGAGCCCGACGGCGGGGCGTCGGACACCCGGCTTTCCGGGGGGCTCTGAAAGACTCGCCCGCTTCCCGGCGACAGCGCGACGCCATCCCCCAGCTTTCCACCCCTTCGAGCTGCGGGTCTCTGTGGGCGAGCCGGCCTCGGCTCCGCAAACCCGGCCGGGGAGCAGGCCCGCTCCGAGGGGCCAGTCAGGACACCCCCTCCACCTCCCCCCCCCGCCCAGGACGGGCCCTTGGCAGGCAGCGGCGCTCCGCTCCCAGCTCACCTGATGCTCCTTCAGCACCTGGCTGAGGCAGGGGTACCGCTCCGATATCCACCGGTAGAACTTGGGGACCCCCATGGCCACCGGTCCCCGCCGCCCTCACAGCCCCGCCGGACCCAAACAACAACGGGCCGCGCTCCGCCTCCCTTCCGGCGCGCGCGCTGACAGCCGGGCCGCCCGCGTCATAGAGCGCCGCGCAGAGCGCCCCGCGCCGACCATAGAGAGCGGCGGATAGAGCGGCGGGGCGGGCTCCCCGGGCCTACCTCGCCTCCCGCCCGCCGGTAGCGTTAGGCCCGTGACGCGTCACCTCTCGCCCCCGCCCCGGCCAGCCCACACAGGAGCTCACGGGACGCCCCTCGGTGCCCTCGGGCCCGGCCCGCTGTGGGCTTGGCGATCTGGGTAACTGGCTGAACAGTAGGTGGCTCGGTAGCTCCCGGTAGGGGCTCTGGGCCCGGGTGTAACAATAGAGCCTGTGAAAGGTAACGCAGCCCCGGCGCTCTCACACCTCAGCAGAAATGATCACAGCAGATTCGGAGATCGTGCCTGGAAAAACTGTCAGAATAATGAGACAGTGACAACACTTACCTGGTAGCAGAATATTACCCAGTAGCTCCCCAGAGAAACAAAAAACACTATAACCTGGTAAAACCCATTATTTAAATTTACTCTCCAACTTGTCTCTTGACACAGCGTCACTGCAATTAAAAACTAATGGCATTGTTTGTCTCCCAACAGCAGAGACAAATACTGTGCAGAAGTTCTAATGATATCTTACTGGGGAGTAAAAGGCTCGTTTTTCTCCTATTTCCCCCATTTCATAAAATCATAGAATCATTCAGGTTGGAAGAGACCATCTACCCTACTCTACAAAGTCCTCCCATACACCATATCCCTCAGTACCCCATCTAAATGTCCCTTAAACACATCCAGGGATGGTGACTCAACCACCTCCCTAGGCAGCCTATTCCAATGCCCGACCACTCTTTCAGTGAAAAATTCCTTCCTAATGTTCAGTCTAAACCTACCCTGTTGGAGCTTGAAGCTGTTCCCTCTCGTTCTATCACTTTCCCTACAGTTTGGATGTCTAGTGTCAGTATATGCCTTCTCAACACAGTCTGCTCTTGCCTGTGTCAAAACACTTATTCCTGAAACAGAGCCTGAAGAACAATCTCTGTGGCCACTCTTTTTACAAGGGAGGGAGGAAAGGCCTGTCCAGGACTCTCACAAATCCAGCTTTGTCTCATTCCTCTCACCAGGGTTTCTTGGCACAGTGGGCAAGGGCTAAGGAAACTTAAAATATTGTAACACTTTACCAGTTTCTTTATGGTAAGACTGAAGATCCCAAATGCTTTTCCTGACATAGCCAGGCCTTAGGGAAGCAAGTCAAAGGAAACCAAAATTCAAGGACTACTGCTGAAAAGAAATACTAGTTATTTTTAGAAAGCCCTTCTGAACTATGAGTAGAAAAAGTTGAAAGAACCACTTCACGTGAATAGGAAACTTTAATGTCAAATTTTCTAATCTACAAGTAAACTGAAGGAGAAAAATCTTTACAAAATGATACAGTACTTTTATAAAGTTAGAGGGCACTTTTTCAACATTGGGAAATTTTTTCATATAGTCAGGGTAGTTACGTACATAAGAAACTTGCAGATTTGCACAGTCTAATTTTTAAGCAGTTCCTATGTACTGCCTCCTATATGCATATAAAACATAAGTTGTAACACCTTACACACCTGCAAGTGTGTTCATAACATACTTGCAAGTGTATTGTACATTTTACACAGATTCCAGATTGATCATAGGACTGTTCTGCTGCTTACAATCAGAAATCAACAGAAGCAACCAGTTACCACCGATTAATACCTTCCCAAGCTCCATTGCTTGTGGATGGTATTTTCCAAAGGGAAAAAATCTCACATATATGGAGCCCAGCCCATGTACATCTGGCAGAGCAAGTTGTCATCACTTGCTTCTTGAATAAGGTAATGAACATGCCCTTCAATAGATAAAGGTAATCCTTTTATTCTGTTTCTAGTCTTAATGACACCTTGCAGCCGTTGTTCTATATCAAGGACATGGGTTTTGGCCTGGAAACAAAGAAAAAGGAAAAAAATGAGTACTGCTATTATCCATCAACTTCCACTTCTTAAAATAGCAAGTATTTATTAGAATGTGTTTGAAATCTGTATGCTAATTTAATACAAACGCCAGATGACTACACCAGTTACTCTGAAAATAAAGGATACTCACTTTTAACATTAATCTTTAAAATGCATAGATTATTGGACAAGTTAAAACTTGAGTAAAAGGCTCGTTTTTCTCCTATTTCCCCCATTTCATAAAATCATAGAATCATTCAGGTTGGAAGAGACCATCTACCCTACTCTACAAAGTCCTCCCATACACCATATCCCTCAGTACCCCATCTAAATGTCCCTTAAACACATCCAGGGATGGTGACTCAACCACCTCCCTAGGCAGCCTATTCCAATGCCCGACCACTCTTTCAGTGAAAAATTCCTTCCTAATGTTCAGTCTAAACCTACCCTGTTGGAGCTTGAAGCTGTTCCCTCTCGTTCTATCACTTTCCCTACAGTTTGGATGTCTAGTGTCAGTATATGCCTTCTCAACACAGTCTGCTCTTGCCTGTGTCAAAACACTTATTCCTGAAACAGAGCCTGAAGAACAATCTCTGTGGCCACTCTTTTTACAAGGGAGGGAGGAAAGGCCTGTCCAGGACTCTCACAAATCCAGCTTTGTCTCATTCCTCTCACCAGGGTTTCTTGGCACAGTGGGCAAGGGCTAAGGAAACTTAAAATATTGTAACACTTTACCAGTTTCTTTATGGTAAGACTGAAGATCCCAAATGCTTTTCCTGACATAGCCAGGCCTTAGGGAAGCAAGTCAAAGGAAACCAAAATTCAAGGACTACTGCTGAAAAGAAATACTAGTTATTTTTAGAAAGCCCTTCTGAACTATGAGTAGAAAAAGTTGAAAGAACCACTTCACGTGAATAGGAAACTTTAATGTCAAATTTTCTAATCTACAAGTAAACTGAAGGAGAAAAATCTTTACAAAATGATACAGTACTTTTATAAAGTTAGAGGGCACTTTTTCAACATTGGGAAATTTTTTCATATAGTCAGGGTAGTTACGTACATAAGAAACTTGCAGATTTGCACAGTCTAATTTTTAAGCAGTTCCTATGTACTGCCTCCTATATGCATATAAAACATAAGTTGTAACACCTTACACACCTGCAAGTGTGTTCATAACATACTTGCAAGTGTATTGTACATTTTACATAGATTCCAGATTGATCATAGGACTGTTCTGCTGCTTACAATCAGAAATCAACAGAAGCAACCAGTTACCACCGATTAATACCTTCCCAAGCTCCATTGCTTGTGGATGGTATTTTCCAAAGGGAAAAAATCTCACATATATGGAGCCCAGCCCATGTACATCTGGCAGAGCAAGTTGTCATCACTTGCTTCTTGAATAAGGTAATGAACATGCCCTTCAATAGATAAAGGTAATCCTTTTATTCTGTTTCTAGTCTTAATGACACCTTGCAGCCGTTGTTCTATATCAAGGACATGGGTTTTGGCCTGGAAACAAAGAAAAAGGAAAAAAATGAGTACTGCTATTATCCATCAACTTCCACTTCTTAAAATAGCAAGTATTTATTAGAATGTGTTTGAAATCTGTATGCTAATTTAATACAAACGCCAGATGACTACACCAGTTACTCAGAAAATAAAGGATACTCACTTTTAACATTAATCTTTAAAATGCATAGATTATTGGACAAGTTAAAACTTTTGCCTTACACTTTAACAGATAAAATTTAGATAAAACAGATAAAATTCAGAGAAGACTGAAAAAGCTATGCAAATGTATTTGAAAATGTTAGAAAGCCTTATTTCATGCAATTACTCTCAAATAAATGCAAAATTTCTCCAGCCTTTTCCTTAGAATTGTGGTTAAAATTAAAAAGGCCTAGTCTGGAAAATTCAGGCCAGTATTATAGGGAACTGAAAGTGAAGAAGTCTAATAACAGGCTGTGCTGATAACTGAAAATGAGCTGTTCCGAGGCGCACTAGAGCAGCCAGTTCATACCTATTACACTCTCACTTTTTCTTTTAAAGCTCAAGCACAACGTTGGCACCTATCCAGAAAAAGCAGTTAACAGATATGACTATGTGGGTGGTCCTGTAACTAGAAGAAAGGTTATGCAGACGCAGCCCACTTACTAATTGCTTGAAGACCAGGAGGTTTTTCTGTGCTCAAACAGCTAAGTTCTTTGTTGTAATACAGCTTCAGTACTGTGGTTTGCCTTGCCTTAGTTGCCATGTTTATCTGTGCTCCCTAAGTATTATCTGCTCTTACATATAATTATTTTCACTAAATATTTCTTTTAAAGCAAAAAGAGATAAATCAGAATTTTTGCAAAGGGGAAGGAGAATAAATATTGCAGGTTGTGCAAGCAATATTTTGGATGAACAATACAGTATTTATCAGCAGCTACAAAAGAAACAGCACATACGAAATCCGAATTTTAACAAACTGTTGACATGTAACAAGGCACGTATTTATTCAATAACAAACATCCACTCATAAAAAGCACAAAAATATGCATGGAAGGGACTCCAGATGTTACTATCACTCTAGAACTGGAGGCTTTGTGACAGAGTGAAGGGAAGCAGGAGCCTCACGTATCCCATTGCTTCTGTTGATGTTGTCTTAATTTAGTAACACTAATAAGCAAATTATAGGTTCTGTTTTGTTTGGTTCTTTAGTAGATAAATTAGATTTTATATCAATAAAACCAGTCTCTTTATGGATAAAAATTCTGAACATAGAGATAATCAAGAAGAAACAACCCGAATTTTAAAGGAAAGAAAACCCAAGAAAGTTAAGCTTTCAGTTAGAAAATATATAACTTTGCAACCATGATGGACATTTGAATACCTTATGCTATGCTTGTTTTCAACTAACCTTTTCGTTGACAACTTCTCCAGTTTCGTTCACCTGTGCTTTTGTATTCCCTTTAACAGGCTTACTCCATTCCACGAGAGGATCATGAAGAAAAGTCTTTAAGACACTAAATAAGTTAAAAATAAAAAAAAAGGTTAA